TATTTTTCATTATAACCCTTCGTCCTTAACACACATCTTCATATATATCATGCATTCATATGCACAGGTGCACTTGCTCTGTTTATTCAGGGCAAATTTGGTAAATATCAAAACTATTCCCAGGAATTTTGATGCACGATTTCAAAAATCCTTGAGCAGTATCAACGTCCGAAATGTGAGATGACCGTGACCTTCAAAACTTGAAAAAACCTCCACAGTGTCACACTTGTCAAGCTCTTTATATCCACTGTGGAAATGATCTTTGGATTCAGTCATCCTGTCCAGTTAGTCAAATCGTTTCAGGTATCAAATTAACAGGTGCATACCTTCAGATGTCTTAATCATGTCCTTTTGCAGCAGACACGTTTCCCTAATAATTTGGAAACTGTTTCAAGAGTTAAGCTCTATGGAAGATCCAAATGATCCAAAAGGGATCAGTCGTCATCTCTCATGAAGATGACGAAGAGGATGTGAGGGGGTAGAGCAGCACAGGCTATTTCTATACATCTGTGTGTCTGTCTGTGTGTGAATATTTGGTTAATGAGTCTGTATGTGTGTGCCTGCGTGTGTGCGCTTGGGCCTGTCTTATTTTGTTTGTTTTTTATTTGTGTAAACCGAACGTACAGTGCGTGTCTCTAACACTCCCTCTTCCCATTGTGCAGTATGAGGAATGCCAGTGGGCTGACTGCTGCTGACCTGGCCCACGCCCAGGGATTCCAGGAGTGTGCTGAGATTCTCTCCAATGCCCAGAACTTCCAACAAAACATGGCTCAGTCCCATAACGGGGCTTTTCTGAATGGCATGACCCAGAATGGGGGCCACGCTCACCCCACCATCCAGGGACGCAGCTTCTTGAATGGCGTGCCCAACAGAAAGAGGTCATTCGATGGCATGGAAGCAAACCCAGTGAAGAAGGCTAGACCTAACGGTGGGTCACTAAGCTAATCAAATCTGTTTTCAGTTGTTTTTGGATCATTTCAATATCTTTGCAAATTTCTTTGAAAGGAAAATGACATTACTGTACTCAAGTTTGAACAATAGTACATTTAGCTAAGACTGCCACACAACCTGTATGCTTAAATAATAATTACTGAAGATATATTTGTAAGAAAAAAATCCAGTCTGTATATCTGATACAACTGTACTTAACACAGCTCTGTTAGACTCTGATTACCTTGTTTTAGTCTTAGAATGTAAGCAGATGAGAATTGAATGAGTTAATAGAAATGGGTTTAAACTTTTATTTTAAGGGGAAAAATCTGCATAATTTTAATTTCTAAAGTAAGAAATTACTTTGAAATGGATGCAGGATGAATAAGATTCAGCTTGAGCCTGCCATTGTGGCATAGTTTTCAGCAGACTGATCCATTGTATTGTTGGCATGTTTTAAGGAAACATGAAGTTATTTCCAACTGTCAGTCATGGCTTTAATTTTGTGTGCATCTATTTCATTCTTAGGTCTGGGCATGCCGCCAGAAATGCTGAATGGGAATGGGCCACTGGGTGGTGCTGGAGAGACCCAGATGGAGAGCATGAACATGGAGTTGGCAGCAACTGTAACCACAGGTGGGCCAGGACCCTTTGCATTTGGGCTGAATGGGTTTGCACCACCTCAGGGGCCGGGGCCCATGGATCAGTGTGAGGACCAGGGGGGACAGGACAGGTCAAGCCCAGCAACTAAAGAGCTGGAGGTCATCACTGTGGCATCAATGCAGACCCCTTGTCGCTGCACCAACTCTTATGCCTACCTGTAGAAGGCTTGTGTGTATAGTTACACACTTTAATGTTCCCATTTGTGCAGTGTATCTTTTTGGTATCGCAATTCTTTTGCATAATACATGGATAATGGAATATATTTGTTTTGATTTGGTGGTAGGCTACATTTGAAAGATGTATAGCAGTGTGTGTGCTGTATTTTATACTTTTCCATTTTCCTGATTATACTGGGATGGATAAAAGTATTAAGATTTCTTCTTTTCATATTACAGTTATATTTAATGCATCTGTCCAGTTATCTAGATAATTGTTGTGTAATCCTTATTTTTTTAGGTTCATAGTAAAAGGGTGAGTTTTGTTTTGCACAATTATACAACAAAATCCTAGATAACGCAAAATAATTGACATTCCCCTCGACACGGTTGCATCACCAGTGCAAATGTAGGTCATACTGGCTTAATGGAAAAAATGAGCCGTGGTCACGTTTCAAATCAGTCTTACATTGTTGATTCTCATTATGCAATTATGCATTGTTCCGTTATAGTGTAGGAAAAGGGGCGACATCATTGGTCACCTGAATTGGCCTTGTGCTGGAAACGAAAGTGGATTTCAGTAGCAATTCTAAGCTAAAGCTGTTATATTCTTTTATAACAGGTTAGAAAAAGTTCACACAAATGAAATGTAATCTAAATGTTAATTGGATTTTTTTGTAGGAATATATTTTTCCTCCAGTTGAATTTAATAATTCAAGTATTCTTTTAAATAATATTTGATTGTAAACGTTGATGTGTGCCTAAGCACTCTTTAATATACACTAAGGAAATGTCTCCTGATATTAACTGCCACCATGCATACGCTGAGGCTGTTTTTATATTCAAAAATTACCTTATGCCAAAGCATATCCCAACATGAATGTAGCTTGTAAAATAATGTTTCTCTGTGCAGCTTTTTTTGTAGTTTGTAGATGTCATGTACTAAGACATAGTGATCCATGGGCTTGGTATTTTGTTGTTACTCTGCACTTCCTTTGTGTTCATTTTGGCTGTGTGCTTAATTGATTCTCAAGTATGGTGAATGTTCACTGTGTGCGTGTTAGCAAAGTTCTTTTAAGCAACTAGCAGGGCTTGCACATCTCTGTTATATAATAATACCCAGTCTGATTTTGAAATTGGTATTTGGCCATTTTGCAATCAGTAGTTACAAGTTAACAGTACTGCTCAAGAAAATTTGCATGGATTTGTACACTTTGCAAAAAGCCTTATTCCTTGAGCTGTATTGAATAGTTGGAACAATAACTTAATGTACATTATTTAAAACTTTTATAGCTAGTGGCAAGGGAATTTCTTTCTGTATTTTGTAGTACTATTTCATGTTAAGGTGGTGTCTGATTTTGTTTTACATGCAAGAAGGATTGAGTGTATAGTCATTAAATTTGGAGCATTCGGTGCTTAGTACTGAGCAGGTTTAGCTTTGTACTTGATTGTGTGAAATCATTAAATGTTGACAAATTTTATAAATCTGACTGGTGGCCTTTTCTTTCTTGATGTATTCTTATGCATCTGTCAAGTCATGCCTTATGACACTTTTGCTGGCCTGCAAAATTTTTTAAAAGAATAATTTTCAGACTAATGTAAATGAAGGGTTATAAAGATGAATATTATTTCACTAGAACTTGCTCATTTAAATCAGCCCATCTTGTGTTGGGTTTTGGATCCTGGCATGCCAACGTGTCTGGAAGACTCAAGATTTTCTTGACTTAGTGCAATAGCTTAAATACCACAGTGGAAACAGAACTAGGTCACTGTGTCATACAGTACTAACTATGCCAAAGAAGATCAGGATGTGACCTATTTAAAACATGGTCTCAGGTCAATACTTGTTGGATTACGTAAGACTGTGCAGGGTTTTTTGTCATTCTCTGATGAACTTTTTGTGTGTAATCCAAAGTGTTGCAGAACATTTAATTTGTGTGTGGAAATGTGGTCACAAAATGACTTTTCTTTAGCTAGCTGCTCTTAATGAGCACCCTGTTAACAGTTGTGCAAAACAAAATCAGTCCTTGTGGGGTTTTTTTTTTTTAGCTTTTCCTGCCTCTTATTAATTATTAATTAATTTTAGAAGCAGGAATATGGTGACATTATTTATATGCCCTTTGACGATTTGTCTCATTTCCAGTGGCAGATGAGAGACACTGTGAGGATCTTTCCTCAAATGGTCACAATCAACCACAGCTTCCATTTGGGTATGACCCAGCAGCAGAAATCTTCCACGACCAACACATCTACAGTGACTCACCTGAGATCAACAACACAGCAGGCAGCCAGGTGGAGCACCAGAAGTCTGTGAAAGCAGAACAGTTGTATGACCATGCCCTTTTCAGCACCATGCTTCTTTACCATGGATCCTAAAGTACAAAGGATCTAGTTAACAGGCCGTCCTTTTTGCCTGAATCTCATGTATGCCTAAACAAGCATTCATTTGCCTTAAAACCATTGAGTGGTGCAGTTATTCATTTATTCATTTATTATTTGTTGTTGTAAAGGGCAGGCCCATTGTTGTGGATGGATCTGAAATGTGAATGAGTTTATTAAGAAGTGGATTTTGTGTTAAAGAGAAAGTGTTTGTTTAGCTTATAAAGTGTGATTAAGCTGTAAATAGCCTTGTTATGATATACACTAAAGTAGACATCTGTATTGAACCACTGCCAATACTTAAATTTTGTTTCTGTTTCAGCTAGAAATGGGGTGATCCCCGCCTCCATTGTCAATAAAAACAAGGCATGTGCATTCCATGTTACTCATTATTAATTAAAAAAAGGTTTACAAAAGTTAAAGCTTGGTCATTTTATTTTGGACTGCTTCAAGTATACAGATAAGTTGAACAGAAATAAATCCTTATCCTGCAAAAGGTTGCCTTGTAAGCCATTGATAACTCTATTTTGTTGGCTGCATAGGAAATCGTAGTAATTACGAAACTTCCAAACGTTGTTTTAAAACGCATCAACTTTCATCAACAAAGCAATTTTATGTAGGGCGCAATATGTATAGATGACCAAGTGCATTAATCAAAGTGGTGTTATAGCCCATTTTATCGGGCGTAGCAATGAGGCTACCCCACTCTGGCCTCACGTGTAGGGACACAACTGTGGCTGTGTACCCTGCAATCAGTCACCTGTCACCGGGAGCGACCTTCATCACGGCGTCGCTGCACAAACATCACGTCACTGCGACCACGCCCCGCGACAGACGACACCCTCAACGGGAACAGGGGGAGTAAAAACAGATACCGTTAGATAAAACAACAAGTTATATACACGTATCTCACTGGTCTATAATTAAATCCATCGCCACCATATGTTGTGGAAGCTGAACCGTAGACGTGTACTGACGTACCCATACGTTAATTTTTTTATTGTATAACATGGAGTTGCAAATCTCCCTCTCCTCTCGAGATATGGTATCGTCCAGTAAACCTAGCTGGGCTAACCAGAGAGTCAGGATTATCTAGAGAAAGAGTAGGGCTGTTGTTGGGGTGTCAAATAGCCTTAAAAAACAACATAACTTGTTCATAAGATAAGACCCTGTAAACGTATCGGTGTTGTTAGTACGTGTTTCACAAGTTTAACCATGTCAACCCCCGCCAGAAGGAGACTTATGAGAGATTTTAAACGGTGAGTTGATGGTCAGAAATTATGCCGATAATGATGGTTAGCTATGATTTGTCAAAAACAGCTAGCATTAGCTTATCTTACGTTAGCTTGACATAACCAGACAGTATGTTTTTCTTTGATATTAAATCTATCTATACATTCGCCAGTCTTCACAGTGAAATGTAGTCTTAACACAATCACAATGTTAGTATGTTGTACTTTTGCGAACCTGAAACGTTAAGTTGAAATAACGTTAATCTTAGTAGCGCTTCGTTCGTAGCTAGAAGCTAACAATGCTAACTAGCATGTTAGTCGAGTAGGGATACTGTCACTGTTTACGACTCCTATGCAACTCTTTAAACCAGCTATGATTTAAATCTCCGTGACAAGTGATAGACAATGTTATCCTAGGTCAAAACACATTTAATCCAACTTCTGGCGATAATTTAACATTGCTATTTATTACAACATTATCGCTTGATAGCGTTGCTAACAAGCATTAACGTTCGCTCTATTTTACGGTCCTCACTTTAGGTAAGTAATCAAAGTTTGGTAGATGTGAGGTAAGTAACAGAGATACTCTGAAACAAGGGTTTAACTTTACAAATTAGTATCCTTATATCACAGAGGAATATATTCTGTTGAACGAGAGAAAAATAACATTAGACCATAGCGGAAGCCTCAGTGTAGACATGTATATATGGATTTTTTCTGAAGTTGGCATCAAACAGCATTGTTCGTCTAACGGTGACAAAACAATTTCCTAACTAAAAAAAATAAGTTGAACTGCGTGCCACCATGAGCAAATGAATTCCTCTATATCTAAATTTAAATCAGCCTGGTCACTTCAAGGTCTTCAAACGTATTTAATTTAAGCAACCTCGAATCCGTGATAGTTTTTGTATTTGAAATTTTGAAAATGACTTTAATTTAGAACTGTAATTTAGCTCATTATAAATGTTTGTTAGTAAGAGATTGAAACATTTCACAAGCTTCTATAATGCAAAAAGAGAGAGTTAGTTTTATTTTCAACCTTTTAACAAGTGTTCTATTAAACTGGGGTTAGTTACTTACTTTAATACTGAATACTCGAATATTGATTGTTGGGGCAAGTTAATCATAAAAACAAGACAGATAGTTTAATAACATATCTTTGACATAATGTACAGCATATCTCCGATGATAAAACTTTTTTTGAAGACATATTGTACAGTGGCTAACAGTTATATGATTCATGGTGAGGACTCAATGGATTTACAGAGACAAAATTTTAAACATCTCTTGGGTTAAATGTGTAAATGTCACAAGGACAAGAGGGAATGTAAATATGAAATGTGAAATGTGGCTGTAGTTAAATGATTAAAGAGGCTGTTCTAATATGGGATTTACCTGACTGTGTTGTCTGGCTTAATAAATTTAGTTTCCTGTTAGTGAATTATAATTTAGAGGTCCTGTTATAACCTTTTCTTTCTTTTTTGTTATGAAGGCTACAAGAGGATCCTCCAGCTGGTGTTAGCGGTGCCCCATCTGAAAACAACATCATGGTGTGGAATGCAGTCATATTTGGGTAAGACATCAATAAACAGCCATAATGTGCATGCAAGTTTGTGTGAAATTAATGATAAAATACCTTTTTTTTTTTCTTTAACCGCACAGGCCTGAAGGAACACCCTTTGAGGATGGTACGTAACTCACTGTGTTCCTGACTTATTTTGTGTAGTAAGACATCATGTTTCTGTATCGCACACAAATCATGTCCAACACAGTAACTTTACTGCATTCAAAACCTCTGTTTAGAATATTCTTACATATGTGCCAGTGGCGAAGCATGTGTCAACAGCTACCATTGTGTATATAAGATTCTTTTGTCTTTCTCCTTTAAAAGTCATTCTTCATCAGTTTTGCTGTTGTTAAACCTGTAATATACAACTTTTCATGTTGGTAGAGAAGGGGTTTTTGTTCAGGTTAGGACAAATCACTGGCCCAACATTTCTTTCCTGCCTTGAAGTATTCCACACCTGAACCAGTCAGTCAGGTTTAATTGCTCATGAATATTTTTTTTTTTATCTTGGTCACAGGTACATTTAAACTAATTGTAGAGTTCACAGAAGAATACCCCAACAAACCCCCCACAGTACGATTTGTGTCAAAGATGTTTCATCCAAATGGTAGGAAAATTGTCTTATATACTTCTTACATGGCACATTTAAGTGTTAGTGATATTTGTGGGTAGTGTATAACTGTGTGTTTTTATCCACAGTCTATGCAGATGGAAGTATATGTCTGGACATCCTACAGAATCGTTGGAGTCCCACCTATGATGTCTCCTCTATTCTTACATCTATCCAGGTAAGAAGTGTCAATATGCCTTATTTTACTTTCTTTTATAACCTAAAGCCAAAAAAATCAAAGGTCTTCACTTTACAATGATATAAAAGAGGAAAGGGATTGAATGTGAAATTTCTGTTATTGGACTAAAAATCCCTGACTAATCAATTTTTGCGCTAATGCACAGAAGAAGCTGAGAAAAGGAAAATGATTTATTTGCAAACCTATGCTCATATAAATGTTTGTGAATAGAGAGAAATTTTCATGTTAATGCTAAGGTGTAGAGCTGCAACCAGACATCATTTTTATTACTGATTAATTTGTTTATTCTTGATTGATCAATTAATCATTTGGTCTATAAAATGTCAGAGAATGGTGAAAGTGCCCAAACCTCTCTGTGATGTTTTCAAATGACTTGTCAAACTAACAATCCAAAGGATCTGAGAAGCTGGAATTTGGGCTTTTATTCCTTTAAAAGAAACTCAAACCGATTAACACATTACCAAAATTTATATCACAATAAACCACTCATTGCAACTCTACTATGCTGTAAAAAAAAAAAATACTGCTGAGAGTTACTCTGTGTTTCATATTTATATTCATGCATGGTTTATTCATTTAGCAGTACTAATAATGGTGATAAAGTAAAAAATCATTTGCTGCAAAATTTTGGAAATGATATCCACAGTCAGACTTTGACCAGATTTTTGTGATTGCAAAAGTCAGATGACAAACTGGAACATTCTGCTGTTATTACGTAATGAACCTGAAGCCATAGTCACAACTTGAAACTAAATGATGTGCATTCATGGAGACGTGTGGCTAAGTAGATTAATGGTTTTATTTAGGTTGGTTATTTTCTCCTGAAACATTCTCACCTTCAGAATTGATCTTCTTTTCCTCAGTCTCTGCTTGATGAACCAAACCCCAACAGTCCAGCCAACAGTCAGGCAGCCCAGCTCTACCAGGAGAACAAGCGGGAGTACGAGAAGCGTGTGTCCGCCATCGTAGAACAAAGCTGGAGAGACAGTTGACCTGACAATCATGATAGCTGCTCTCTCCATTGTAAAGCTGTGTGTGCTGCGAGTTTTAGTGGAGTACCTCTTAATTTTTGGGCCCCCCAACCTTTTTGATTTTAAGCTTTTATGCACTTTACCTTCAACTTCCTTTCATAGAATGTTTTTTTTTTCTTACCCGCCAGGAGGGATTTATTTTTTCTATACTATCCCCCTTTTCCAGTCCATCAGGGGAACTGTGCTGAATCTTGCCTTGATGTTTTGTCAATATGGACTTGTGGGCCATTACCCAAAAATTCTGGTGTGTTCTAACTTGCTGTAATAACTCCCCATGACTAATTATGTTAAATGTCTTGGAGGGTGTATCAATGAAGTCATGGATCCTCTTCTGTTGTGCCCCTGATCTGTTCTGTTAAGTTTGTCTGGGCTCCAGTGTGATCACCCCACCTTTCCTTGGGAGAATGAGCAGCCTGAGCATCACGGACTACAACTAAATCGGACATCTTTACACCATGTCTTTTGCTGTGTTGTGAACTCTGTTACATGCATGACAGTAAGAGTGTATTCACGTTCCTGTTCAGTACTCATGTATATAAGATACCTGCAACTGAATTTATGTACAGATTTTGCACTGGTTGTCTCCCATGTCATTTTTTTCAGCACTTGTAAATAAAAAAAGGCAAATTCATCCTTATGTGGTAAGTTTGATTTTTAATTCTGACCGCAAATTCAATATTTGACTCAAAAATGACTTTTCTTGCTTTGATAGACGTCAACACTTATGCTGTGCCTCAGTTTATGTGAGACTGACATTCCAAGAAGCCCCACAATTCAATCAGGGTGACAGCCCATGAGGTAAGCCATGGTTATGAATATGAATGTAATCATGTGTCCACTAAATAACTGCACCGACATTCAAGTGTAACATGGGGGTGCTCAGGCCAAAGTGATCATACATGACAATATTCTTTGAGGGTACAGATCTGCTGTTGGGCTGCAGGTGTTTTTACTTAACATCTTGCAACAGCAGTATTTAACAGGTCTAAGCATAATTTGAAATATTCTATTTTGCAGTAAACATAATTAAATATAAGGTCTGTCCTTTTGGATTTTTAGTCCTTTCTTTGGTTCCATTTTACATTTATGTTTTTCAAGTCTGTCTTCTCAGGTCCATATGTACATGAAAAGATTTTTTGTTTCTTTAAATGGTTCCTGCTGTCAATACTGCCCAAGTGATAGAGCACAAAATCCATAGTCCTTTCTGTGTAAAGATGCATTATTAAGTTCAGCAAACACTAATATGAAACTTAAGCAGTCTGTGTCAGACAAATTAAGAGGGTATCCTTCAAAGTTGGTCCATCACATATATTGAAATCACTTTAAAAAGAGATCTTTGCAGCCAGTGCTGACAGGAGGAACATTTACTGCTTCAATGTACATATGGCCTGTAAGTACTGTATTAATGAAAGTGAATTGTGAAATTACTGATTGCAAAGTAGCTGTCCTCATGACATGTCCCCTACTTAATGCTCATAATCCCAAAATGCAATGAGTCAAATTTATTGAAAATGTGACCCTTCACGTCAGTGGTAACGCAAAATCTTTATCGTTCACTACAGAGTAAACAACAGATTGATTTCTATATAGGGGGTAGAGAGCTACAGTACACTGTATTATATCACATTTATCTTATTTTTGATTTAGATTCTTCATTTCATCCTCTGAGATGTTAAAGATAGAGTCTTCTTTGTTTAGAAATGTTTTATTTGTGAATTGAGCATATATAATGGAGTGGGTGATGTCGCATGCATGATGAAAACAAGGGGGATGTAAGTGCAGGACAGCTGGTTACAAACATGCAGGTTGTATTGTACTGTACTGTGTCAATTCTTTACAAATAATCCCAACTGAGATGGAGCAATTTTGTTTCTCAGCTATGCAGCAATTACAAAAATAACTATGTACAAGATCCCTCTTGTCAATTCATTACTGTTTTAAACAGTGTTAACAGTAAATGGAAACGGAGACATAAAATTTTTATGCAGTAGTGTTCATTGGGCCAGGCAGAGCAAGCTACCTGTTGTATGCCCTCTCCTTCTTGGCCCTTTCTAAGGCCTTGTCCATGGTCTTCTCATTCTCACCTCTACATTTGGGGCAGTACCACTTTCCCTTGGGCTTATGATGGAGCCCAACACAGGAGAAATGAAACCACTCAATGGGACATTCATTGTTATCGCAGCCAATCATCTCGCCATAGGACACCTGCTCACACAGGCAGTATGTTGGCTCATCTGGATCAATGGGCAGGTCTGGAGGTGACACTTCTCTCTCAGACTTTCCTTTTGACCGTTTCTTTTTCTTAGAAGATGTTTTGGCACGTTTTTCCCGGGATGCCCCCACTCCCACTTCCTCAGTGTGATCCAGACCCCCGTAACTTTCCCGACTTTCCCCATTTTTCTGACGTCTTGAGCGTTTCCCACCAGCCTTGTCTGTGCCACCTGAGCCTGGTGTAACCTCATCACGCTTCTTATCATGGTGGCCAGGTTTGCCTGGAGTGATGGTGGCTGATGATGAGGACATCATGGATGTTGCAGTGGTTGTCATGGATGTTGCTGTGGGAACGTGGCTCTCTGGGACTTCTTGAGAGGAAAGGAGAACTTCAGAATGCCAGTCTATTTGTCGTGTTCGGTTTTCAACCAACTCCACCTGAAACAAAGAACATTCATTCAAGTTATATATAGTTATATTCTGTAAAGTTATATAAAGTGGCAAGCTGTAGTTTGGCCTTTCTAACATCATGTAATATACATCATCAATTTTCTGCAGAAACCAAACTTGAACAAACCTTAAACGGCTTAATTTAACATACTGTAAAAAAAAAAAAAAGAAAAAAAAGTTGGGACATTCTTCTTGTTTATCCAATTGTGTTATTACACTTAAGACTTTGCTGGGATCTATGGGTGTAGAAACATCACTAAACAGCTTTACAGTGGTTCAACCCCAGTTTAATGATATTATCTAAACCACTTCTCTAGGAGTTAATGTTCATATTACAATCATTACCCAAATTATACGTTTTAAACATCTCATTTCAACTTTGACATACCAAACGTATCAGAGGGGAAGGTTAAATATGGTGTTACATTTCTGGTACGTCTTTAGCATGTAACAATAACAATAATAAGCTGATTTGGTGTTCATTGCAAATGTTCAAAGAAATTTTGGTCTCTGGTAATGACTTCAGTAAAGTTCATTGAAAACCTAATACACTCCAAAACAAAATGGCCATTTAGCAGGTCCATAAATCCTTTTTTTCCTCTTTATCTACTCAAGAGTAAGAGTGAGAACAGATGTTACATGAATGCACTCCTCTATCCTCAAACAGTCACACACATTCAGATCTGGAAGTTTGCCAGTGAGCAGCTCCACTGAAACAGCTGCAGGGTGTTCTCTTCATACCATTTGACCAGCAATCTGGATCTTTTCATCTCCGAGCTCTTGACTGCGGATCAGTGCCCTCTGAATCGATAACTGAAGTTTGCGCCTCTGAAGTGAATCAGATTCCCGGCGATATCGTTCATAAGCATCATCAAGCTCCTTCAGAACATCTGTCAAAGAAGTAGTCACAGAAAAAAAAATAAGTGTGATAGGCATACTGAAATTAACACATTCTCAAAAGTATACACAAATGTTCTCCTACAGCTTATTTCTCACTCATAATGCATTACTTCCTTGATTTTGTGAGGAGTGATCAATACTTTTGTATGCATTCAACAATATAATTTTTTTTGACCTCTTCAGTACTTGTTAAGATTTGAAAGAGACTTGTATCCACACTGCCTGGCTTCTTTACCTTGATACTTGGCATCAATTTCCTTCATGAGAGACACACTTCTCTGCAGGTCAAAGGGTAGTGATTCCACCAGGTCCAAATACTCCTCAACATAATTCACAACAACGTGGCCTGGGTCACCATTGGTCGGGTTCAACATCGCGGATTTGTCTTCACCACAGGACACTCCGACACCTGCACCTGTTAAAAAGAAGTTATTAAAACGTTTAATGTTGATGTAAAGCCATTCTGCTAATGGGGTATGTAATGCTCCAGTTTTCAAACATATGTATGTTTCTTGGCAACTATAACTGCATTCACTTGCACCAGACTTCTCGGATTCAATATACATCATTGTCCATGTCATCTATATAGAACCCATCAAAATGTGTTTTTGTCGTGTTTTCCATAATGAGGTAGCTGAGATCTGTCCAGAAATATAAATTGTACGGTCAAAATGTGAAAGGGGGAGGGGGCAACTGATCTGTAGTCAGACATCCTGAAAATTGCTACGTGTAATAGGAATCTGCCAACAGAGATCACTGCTACTAACGAGTACAACAAAAGCTCAGTAAGAATATAAATAAGTTGCCGATGACTTCGTATGTATAACAAAGTACTTGAAGTTGTTATTAAGTGCCCCTCAGTGTTATGCAAGGTCGGAGAAGACAGCAAAGCTAAACAGTAACGTTAGCTAGCTCGACTTCTCGGTTATCTATAACGTTAACGGAGATGGGGATGAATCGTAAACCGACAAGCTAACGTGAAAAAAACCCGCAAGCAACTTCCCTGTTGAGCTTCAACGTTTCCATCACAAACAGACTGAGTTCCAGTGTGTAGCGATAGCCATGATTACTAACGCTAACTACGACTATACAACCCTGCTGGCAACTTTATGTTAACGTCAAGTAACGTTAACCAACTTTCTCCTCGTTCCAAGTTTGATCTGGGAAAACCTTTACTCTAAGCAAAACACAAAACGAAATATTATTTGACCTACGTGTGCTGTTGGCTGACAACGCTAGCAAAATGTTTAAACAAACGATACCCTGATGGGACAAAGATTAAGCAACGCTCAGAGAAAAGGTTTAACCACCTCTTCATTCACCCACAGCGTAAACAATTACAAAACACTTAAATCAATATGCTAACGTCACACAAACAAACCACCCAAGTCTGAATCATCACTAACGTTATAGGCAATAATTTAGACACTTAAATTAGTCTAACTTCTATCATCTTTAAATGTTAGCCAAATTAGCTTCTGTTAGCCTTTAACATATACCGATACTGAACGGACCATATCCATAAGCACGGCAAAATAAACGCTAGACAAAACGTTGCACTTGAATAGTTGGTAGACGAGCGGCTCACAGAATAACTTACCTGTGTGGATTTTAGCTTTTCTGTAGCTACTCAGTAGCTGACGTTAACGTTTAACAGTCCGGGATGCTGCACTCGTTGCTAACGCTATGGTCGTGTGTGGAGAGTCGGACTTGCTAGCCCTGGAGCAGCTAATGTTAGCTGGTGGCTAAAGTGCCTGAGCAAATATGTTAAACTGTGCCCATATAGTTGTTGCAGTACGAGGCGACTATATGAACCACCGACAAAGGTTTGATTAATCAAATGACGTATATTTCTTCTTAGCTTTAACAATGCATTTCTGAAAAGTATATTATTTTTTTGTGAGCATATTAGTTTATATTACCACTTACAGAATCCCCATTGCTTTAGCACTGACAGGATTTTTCAGCGGTCTCATTGACTGTAGTAACAAACATGACCATAGTATTTCCATTTTTAAGTCAATATTGCCACCCGGTGGCAACAAAGGTAAACTGCTATGATGTAGGTTGCTTTTAGGAACTTGTTCAAAAAGTCACTCACACAAAATTTAATTTATTATTTATTTCAAAATTCAAACAGGTTTCTGTTTTTTTCTGACCCCATTTATCTGACCATGTTTCTTTGATGGGCTGTCAACACGTTAGTGTGTATATTTTGCACCAGATTTTGAGCACTGTCTTTGAGAGAATAGTTCACACCTCTTTAACCTTCTTTCTAATTCTACTTTATGAGAACATTTTCCACCAACCAACCCATAGGCTGTATTAGTTTTGGTAACAGTTTTTAAGAATGCAAAATTGTGCATGTATGAATGTATAGCCTTTTAACAACAACAATCGTGATCAATTTTCAGTTGGTTGTTTTCAGCTTTCAAATAACTTTTTAAAGGCTGAGCCAATCTCCTGGATCATGTCCGAGGTGGTGGTGGACCTGCCGTGTTGCTGGAATGCTTGACTGTTGCACTGTCTGGTAAGTGAACAGGCTCCAAATGCTGCAACCACTGATGGACTCACACTGCAGGAGAACAAAAATAATGGATTAGACAACGTAAAACTACACATATGTGAAACATTCATTTATTTCTGCAATATGACACTTTAAGAAAGACCATAATAGTGTTTGTGCATGTTTTAGCCATTAACTTCTGATTAATACCCATCAGCATTACCATTTGACAACAGCAAAACATTAGGGCTTCAACTAAAGATTTTCATTATCAATTACTTTGTCCATAATTCTTGATTAATCCTTTTATTCATAAAATGTCCGAACAAGTGTGAAAAAATCCCACCAATGGTTCCCTGAGCCAAACATAATGTCTTCAAATGTATTGTTTTTTTTTCTCCAGCATCCTCACCTTGCAGAACCTAAGGATAGAAAATGTTTGGCATTTCTGCTTGAAAAATGGCTGAAATTATTAACCTATTACCAAAATAGCTAACTATTAATTATATGTACATTAACTAATCAATTATTTCACTTATGATTTCAACTCCATAATAGATTAATACAAAAGTGACTAAATATTCAGTAGGACCTAATTCAGGAAACTTTTCAGACTCTGCAGTTTGATTTTCATAACATGGTGAAGTGAATGGAAACCACTGGGTGCTGTAGAGGTGTATATAAAATAATGTTTTGGAAATAGTTCACATAATGCAAAATTTATGCACTTTGTATGTCATGTACTTAAACATGTACAAACACTTGTATGATACTTTAAAGGTGTTATATTCTACATTAACAAGCCAAACATGTCTTCACCTTCTCAGCAGTCCAGCTGCAGAGGCAGCATGGGCCCAGTGTGCCAGCACTCCCATAGATCCAGACAGGAGATCACCCTGTCCACCACATCGTCTCCCACTGCCCTCAATACTGCATGAGATCACTGAAAACAAGAAGTCTCAACTTCAGATGACAAAAACAAAAGAGTATCCCAGTATGTATATTGAAGTAGTGATTTACACTAATAGAAAAGGCGACTGATCGGCTGGAAAAGTTTAAAGCAGTTGTGTTTATACTGTATATGGGCTTGATACTAACCCTTGCTGCCGTCTGTAATGAGATCCTGTTCTCCTTTTAGCACCAGAGTGAGGTTGCCCATGGCTACACTGAGCTGCATGACACTGCGTTGATGATCACTGCCGTCCATGGGTTCATGGTGCTGAGACAGCAACACACAGAAAACACACACCCACACACAAATTGAAACACAGAATCACATTTTAATGCCATCAACTGGTGACTGACTGGACTCTGCCGAGAGACCCACCAGTGCCTCATATAGTCGGGTGAACTCCATGAAGTTAGGTGTGAGGATACCCTTCTGGTACCCTTGAATAACAGATGGTTGCTGCGTAACTAGCCATAATCCGTCCTGTTGAAAACAAACAAACAAAACACACACGTGCACAGTGACTCAGTGACTGTGTATGGCTTTGCAAATAAAATCCCATCTGTTCAACAGCTGGAACTCAATTTTATCAAGACTTACTGCATCAATGACTATCGGGATATCTCTTGCTTTACACTTCTCTATCACCTCCTAAAAGGGAGAGAAAAAAAGTGTTATCTTGAGATAATATGATAACTAAATATCATTCATAAATCCTTCAGTAGCACTCAGCACAGTGTAATTCAGCCTGCATTAAACATTATTTGTACAGATATGCAGTATCTGTGTCCTCACTCCAGTCATACTTGGGTAATAATTCCAAGTCCAGTGTAGAATTCTCCTAATTTGCCCAAAAGATATTCCTAGTGTCAAATATATACATTTCTCTACCCACAACGGACTGATGGATCAAAGCTAAAAGTGTCACTTAAGCAGCAGTGTTCATGTGCTTCTACAGGGTTGGTAAACATGAGTTTGCTCTTTACTGAAGACATGTTTTTGAAATCAAACAAAACCTTTCACTTATCAGTCACAGGAAGCCACAAACAGGTGAGGTTGTGGTGTGGTTGTGATTATGCACACAGTAGCTGACCTAAGAGACTGTTTTCAATGCAAGGGAGAGTGAATATATTCGACATGCCTTAGCTGTTTTCAGTAACAAGTCTTCTCTCCCTAGACCTGGTCCCACCACAAGGCCGTGCAGTCTTGGGAGCCATTTCTCAATCTCTTCCACTGCATTGGGACTGTCCCTTGACACACACACACACACACACACACACACACACACAAATAAAGACACACTTATTAGATGTGTCTGAATGCACAAATTATGAAGTTGTACCCTGTTATGCTCTTATTCTGTGAACGTAATTACCTTTTTTGTTATGCCTTCGCGTATAACTAATCTTGGTTTTAACAGATAAAAAGTCTTATGGATGTTACCATGGCAACCATGAGCTCACAATGCACTTTGATGACTTATAACAACAGTCATACTGATTTCTACCTATTGTGTCACTTTGTGATGAGAAGGCATATAAACAACACTGACTGAGGACGCCACAATCATACTGACTTTCACCACAGGCTCTAAGTTCATTTGATAACAGAACCCATAGGGTACGACAGAAATGTAAACAGCTTACAGGCACTGTGGCGTGCCATAACCAAATTCTCCACGTTGTAAAATTATAGTGAGAAAACACCAAGATGATCATAACAACATGTTTCTTTTTATACAATTGGTAAACTAATTATAGGCAACTGCAAAATCTGACCTACTACAATATTATAATTCTACTTATTAATTTAAAAACTTGTTATAACACAACATCAAGGTTTACAACAACTCTTGTGAACATGTTCGGTATCTATACTTCATCATAAACACAGACGTCATAGAAATGGTTACCAAACTTTTAATAATGTAGTATTTGTGCATGAAAATACTCATCTTTTTGTAAATAAACACACATTATTCCTTTATTAATGATAATGTTGCTGTCAGTGAGGAAAACCCTGTACTTACAGAACAGGATGAACTATGAGCTCTGGGCTGTATGATTTGATGACAGTCGCAGCATCTTTGGTGCAGAACACATGAGACAAGTCAGCTCCCTGGAAACAAGAAAAAAAAAAAGCAGTGTCACTGTACCAGGGCCGGACTAAAAGTGATAGTTTTACATTTTGTAAAATTAATGTTTAATCCGTCAGAATGATTATTTACCACTTTCAGTGCAGAGATGGCAGCAAAGTATGGAGCTCCAGTATAGCTTTAGGAGGTGAAGACAAAAAGAATTAGAGTAAATGTTCTATAGGCTGACAAATTAAGATCTTGTTTGGTGAATGCTGGTCATTGGTCTTTGTGTCACATACTCTTGGCATCCTCCAATGATCCCAATACGTCCGTCTTGTCCCTTGTGCTTTTTGGATGTGAGTGGAGGGACTATGCTCTTTACTAGTGAGAGGATATCATCATCCATGCCTCTGTGTGATGTAGACCCCAAGCTGCAGTAGCGTTCAAACACTGAAGAAATAAACAACATAAGAGCTTTAAAGTGTGGAGTACTTGCTAGACCTGAGTCAGCAGCTAATCTACGCTTTTACCTTCCACGGACAGAAGATGACAAAAGTTTGGCAACAAAAATGAACAACAAGTACACATATAAAACCGAAAAAATAATGTAGTGAAACTAAAGATAAATCAACAAGTGACGACTGGAGTGACTGCTCCATCACTGAGCTTTCACATTACAGCTGACATGCCTGTAATTTCCATTTCCTCCTCCACACATTCTCCCTCCAGGCTGCAAACATGACACCTACGCCAATACCTAATGCCTGAGGATCTGCGTCTGACAGTTGACTCTGTTGGGTGTAACAGTCTGCCTGCGGTGAGGGGCGTCTGAGATGACTGGATTGGCCACGTGTACATGACTGAGAGGCACTGGAGAACACAGGTGCATGTGCAGCAGGAGCCGTCTTGGAGGGAGTGGCAGCAGAGCTGGGTGTGGCAGCGGAGATACTGGAGAACATCTGACCGAGCATCTGAAGCATGTGCAGCTCCCTTGCGTGTTCGGCTTCTCTGCGGCGGTCTTCTGCCTGCAAGCGCTGCTCCTCCATTCGGTAGAAGTTGTCCTCGGCCTGGGCGCTCTGCTCCAGGAACTGCTCCATTAGTTTCTCCATGGGGAAGTTAGCACGCCTCTTCCTTGGTCGCTTGGGTGTCCTGGCTGATAGAGTACCGGCCGACTGGCTGCTGTTATGTGGTCTTACTGAAGTGCCTAAAGTAGAGAGGGGTGAGACATGACGTGATGCATCTTTGAGCATATGCAATCAACTAAGGATGGTATTAGAATTTTTTTATAAAACAATGCATCCATCTAACACAGAAGAACAAATGAACGTGGACATGGAGGGAGAGCTTACTGTTATTGCCCACTGTCACTTTAACTGGAATAGGGATGGGGACAGTTGGGTACTCCAGCTTCACTTCAGTCTCTGCAGGATAAGGACACTCCCCTGTGCCCTCGGAGTATACATCTTGAACATCCTCTCCATCCTCCTCCAGGCCATCCACGGCCTCCTCTCCTCCCGCCCCGCTGTCTATGAACTCCTGAGGGTCAAGAGCAGGCCGGTTGCTTAAAATCCTCTCCATGGTGTCATAAAACTTACAAATCTTGTGATACTGCCCGTTGTTCCGTAGATTACCCTCCTTTGCCAACAGGTACTGTCTCTTGAGGCTTTTGATCCGCACCCTACATTGTTCCGGCGTCCTCTCAAACCCCATCGCTCCCAGCCTCCGGGAAACGTCGCGGTACACGAAGCTGTTTCGGAAGTTTCCATCCAGCGCTGCCTGGATGTCCTGCTCCCCCCAGATGTTCAACAAGGTCCTCGTCTCAACGTCCGACCACAAGAAGCCCCGCGTTGTGTTTGCTTGCATAGCGGATTCGGACGGGCTTGCTTTGAGTAACCTCCACCACACGGAGTTGAAAGGAGATGTTGACACTGCGGATTATGATGGACGTCTGGATCTTTGCTCTCAGCTGCATCAAAGCCGCGGGGCGCCGCTATCCCAAACAACGTCAACACCAAGACCTGGTCGTTGAGCTTGTTTACAAGGACTTGCCGGAGTAACACTTCTAGTTTTCAACTTGGGAACCATTCCAATAGCTTATACAGATCAACTCTCTGTGTGCTAGCTAAAACCTGCCCGTCTATGTTTGTCCCTTTACGTCGTTAGCAAAATGCGTCGCTTGGTACTTTGAGATAAACTGACTGGGAATCGGCTTTCCCAATTTCTTTTCACGCCCTTATCCTTCATTGGGTACATTTCAAAACTGACCTCTGATCAGTCCTACAAGGGGCAACTTCACCTTTCTCCGCCTGCTCCTCCGCCCATTCTAGGTGTCTTCCGGGTCCTAGAGACCTTGATTACAAACCTGTCAACTACTCGATCGTCATGGAGAGGCACGGCCAGGCTTTAGAGGTAGTTAAGCTAACGTTGTAGCCACATGGACGCTACAATGAAATACAATTTATAATACTTCCTTCACTTTACCTCTCTCGTTCAAAAAGACCAAGGTGACGATAATCGACAGTGCAACTGTGACAGAGCAAAAGGCGAGCATCTGAATCTGTTGCGACATGTTGTCATTCATTCCTTTCTCTAACTACAGCCACCGACACATGAAGCTTTTCCACGAGTGGAAGCTCCGCGCTTCTTCTTACCTAAGCTGTAACTGCGTTTCAACGCTGTCAACTGTGCACAAACGATCCTGATCATGAGGCTCCCTTAACCCAGTGCAGCAGTACAGGAAGAAAAGGCTTGTGATGCCTTTACGGACTCCTCGGACACTCCTTTCTCACAGTAGGCTGAAATCTGACAACAAACGAGGAGCAGCCAAACAGGAAGTTAAAGCTGCACTTCTTCTAATAGCCTCTAGAAATGCTGGTTGCAAAATTAGGCCAATCATGTTCCCCCATAGGAAGTCCCACTATTATTTATTTAGTCACCATCTTGATAAAATTTAAAAAAATTAAATAAAGTGTCTTTCTGTCCATATTGTAAAAAAAGGGTAGCTATTACTGTACTGGCTACTAAAAGTTAGATACCTAACCAAAATAATAACAAACATTAACGTTGTGTATATATATATATATATATATATATATATATATTTAGCATTAGTTATTTGCAAGTGTGACACCTAATGCAGAATAAATGGCATCATATGAAAGGCAAACATATTGTAAAATCATAATAAAATATATTGCTGTTACATTTGTTGTCCTATGCTTAGCAGAGAAGAATGAAGCACTGTTTTGTGTCCCACCAAGTGCTCTAATGTCTTGTTACAAATATTTCTCCATTACAACAGGACATGAACGCAGCGCATGGGTCCATGAAACTAGAATTTACTTAAAATCTTAAACGTAAAATTAAAATGAAAAAAAAAGTCACATGAAAATAAGATACAGTATACGAATCATTCAATAAAAGTAAAATGTTGTATGCTTTATACTGACAAAGTGTAAAAGCCGACTCGAGGGAACCAGCTATTTTTCAAGAGAATTCAGTTTTCACGTTTTTTTGACACAGGAACTGTGTCATGGTCAATCTCGAGTAAGTAAACTATCACCCGCCCACGAGGGCGATCCAATGTATCAAATCGGGCCTATCAATAGCGTGTGAATTCTTGCCCTGAGTTTAGCTTTGTAGGTAAAAAAAAGACTAGGCTGTGTACAAATCCTTCCTCCTTAATATACAAACCAAGGCACAAAAGACTAAAGCACAAACGAAAACATCTGAAATGTGCCGAAGACATCAAGATTTTATTTAATATTTGCAATTAGTGCATTTTGCAAGTTTGATTTACTCACAATGTTTTTTCCTTTTTGGTTTTTTTTGCCCATTTTCTGTCTCATTTCTGCAGCTGCATTTGATAGATCATTTGTGTCTAATTTCCTTATCTTAAATAATTTCCCTTTTTAGGTGTAAATTGTTTTTCTAAAGTAAGTCAGTAAGTAAAGTGTATCACTATAATACCTCTCTAGATCAGATGTTACATGGGCCCTCACAATGACAGACCAAAAGAAAAAGAAAACAAATTGAGACATAGGCTAGTAAAAAAAAAGTAAAATATAGATAAACAATAAAATAATAAAAACAATAAAACAAAACGATGGTAGACCGGGTTGGTGGACAGCTTGCCGTAGATGAACCTGACAGGCAAAACTCAGGGTAAAAAGTGCACTGCAAGTCTAGCTTCTCACCTACTTCCTGTTTTACCTCAGTTACTTTTTGAAGTTCAGAGTCAGGCAGCAGATCTGAGAATGAGCAAACACTGGACAGTCATGTTGGCTCAAATGAACTGTCATTCATAAAATGGCGTTTGTCAGAGGAGTTCGCGAGCAGTCTGAAGATATTTTTATGAGCTAGACCGCGCTTCTTTTCTACGATAAAGAGCTCCCCTCTAGCGGGACCCAGCATCATCATTATGCCCGAGCTGTCGAAAATGAAGAAGCCCGACGTCAAGGTGGTCCTCCTGGGAGACATGAACGTGGGGAAGACGTCGCTGCTCCACAGGTACACGGAGAGGAAGTTCAAAGACACTATCAGCACCGTCGGAGGGGCGTTTTTCCTTAAGCAGTGGGGACCTTACAACATCTCAATATGGGACACTGCTGGTAATACCTCCTTCATATGTTCTCTTCATGCCTTTCCCACTGTTTATTTGAAACTCTTATCAACCTTCATTCCTCTGGTTTATTAACTGTTTACCTGATAACGCGTGATGCCACCACCTGAGGCAATCACAGGCATGTGACTGCTCAGTCTGTACAGGCAGCCTGCTTCATGGGAACCTGCTTCTGCTGGTTCTGGGTGGTGTGTTATTCATTTTCGCAATAAACAGAAAAAAAGCATGTAATGCTAAAACGAATAACCATCATATGTCCAGTTAGGTGTTGCACAATTAAAGCTCTTCAAGTCAAAACAGGATAAAAACAAACGGGACAACCCAGCACACTGATAGACAAACAACCTTTATAAAAAACAACTTTTAAAATAAGCCTCTTAATCTATGCACAGTCACACACCTTTTACAGTAATATCAGGGTCACTTAAACTGCTTAAGTGACCCTGTAGATATTAGGGGACAGGCCTTTTTAATAAACCTTCAATTGGTCAGAACCTGTAATCATTGATCTTCAGAACATTTAGGGTTTGGTCTATTTTGGAACAAACTCAGTTGTATTGCCCTTAAAAGGGACATACTTCATGAATACAGCAACAGTAAGTGTAAAAGTAAAACACAGTATGAGATAGTGAACTAATATAGCTGAGTATATAAAATATATAACATTAAAGTCTGTCAAGTAAATTTTCATAAATGTCATTTTAATATAGAACAGCCTGTAACGAAGATAAAGGCCTGTTAGTGATATGATTAAACTAAGCTAATGAGTCAGCTAAAATGTTTGAATCCCTTAATTTAAAAGAGTGATAGATTAATTGATAACAATGGTAACTTTTCCAGTCTTAGTTGATTATCATTTGCCAAGATGCATCTGAAGCCCTCGTAAAAGTCTGCGTAAGAAAACATCAGATTGACTTGAACTGGTAAAATATGGATTTTTAGTGTGCTGAAAGAAAACTGTCTCTGCTTCCCTAACACAAACTAAGGACTTGTATGTTATTATTCTGTGACTATAAGGTTGTTTTATTATAAATGTTTATCAGGCTACAAATGCCCCTGTTATCAGCCCATGTTATAAAATCACTGTGTGCCTTGTCTTGTGCTATATTGCTCAATATTGGACTAATCTGACTTTATCAAAACCATGGTCATCTGAGAATTATTTTCCTTGATTTGTTAATAGCTCTCTGACACATGGGCTTCATATATAACAACCACTGCTAAAGATTTGACAAGAGATGCACAATTCCACTTTGATTTAACTATCAATCCCATAATGGAAAGCAGCTATAACTTCATTACAGAGTCAAAAAAAAAGTCTTCATCAGTGAAATGAGATGTGCTCCTGCGCTGGAGCCAACATGACAACAGATATACTGCAAAGGTCCTCATTCCACCAGATAAATTAAATTAATTTTGAAATACTATTCTGTTTTCAATTATTTTGTTTAGTCTTTAGGCATGAAATGCCAGAGGAATAATGAATGTGCATCACAAGTTACTGGTCATCTTAAATTTGCTCATTTAGTTCAACCCACAGCCACTGGATTTAAATAAAGATGATCTGAAACAGACAAGAATATCACCTCCGTGTGAAGCTGGAACCAACAAATGTTTGGTGTCAGTAGTACTAGCAGTCTTTCTGGGTGGATGGTCAGTTGCTAGTTGTACCCTGTTGTAGATCATGAGTTAGCAGTTTAATAATTATTTGTCATTTATTTAGGCAAGTTCCACAATTTCAAAATATGGAATAATATTAATTTGTGTGATTTTGTTTAGACTCAGAACCTGTGTTATTTTACTGCAATATTGAATACACTATACACTCAGAAACTTGTGCTTTTCCAGAACTTCTGTCCCCAACTAATCTCAAGGGTCACAAGAGACCTGATGTTTTAGAATTAATTCTCTTCAATAAACACATTTGGATATTTTTATTGGCAATGACAGGAAGAATAATTCATTTAGTTAGTGCTGATGAATACGCTTATAACTGTGGTACATTCTAGTACTATGTAAACATGAATTACTGTAACTCTTCTCAGGCAAATACACACTTCACAAAAATAGAGTTGGTGAGCCACAGAGATAAGGACAGACTGCCCATGTCACCAGTAAGCCATTTCCTGTCTATGTTCCTTAACTCCATGACCTCTGACAGAATACTGTTGCATTTGTTTTACTTAGTCAGTGTGGTGGAGAAATGCCGGATAAGCGCTGAGTCATTTCAAGGCAACTGTTGCAGACCTATCAGCATCAACCTTCAAGCTGTGGACAGTGGCAGTTATATGGGTTGTATTAAAATCTGTTAGATGTTTGGCTCATCACATTGAAACCAGAATGTCTTTCTTTTTTTCCCTCTGATAAAAAATGTTGTCAGCTCGACAGTTTGGTTTTTAAAACAGGGATTTCAGCTGTCAACTTTGTTCCTGTTAAAGTCACATGACAGAGCTATGACGGGAAGACTTGATGCTTTAACCTGTCTTTTCCAAACTTGCATGCAATAGTGCTTTCCAGCGGAACAAGCAGGACTGAGTTGAGTCACTTCAGCTAATAGTAAAGAAAAAAGAAATGTCTTCCTACCACAGATTTTCAGTATATTCTGATATATTCCAGGGGGCAATTGTGATGAATTAATGTTGATTATAATACTCTTGGACAGAGCTGACATTATTACATTATTAACAAATTTATAGATGGACAGAAAATTAAATCAACAACTAATTGTTATATTTTAAGCAAAAATGCCAAACAACATGTGGTTCCAGCTTCTCAAATGTGAGCCTTTGATGTTTTTCGTGTCTGTCATAAATGATAGTAAACTCAAGAGCCCTGGGCACTATTCACAATTTTCTGATATTAATCAGACAAAATACTGAATAAATTAATTGAATGAATGAACTATCAGCAGATGAAAATAACTGGTTGGTTGCAGGCCAAGATCTAGTGTTATACTACCTACATCCAGCTAAAGCTAATGCAGTCTAATATAGCAGTCGCACCAGAAATTATAATAAATTATAATGTTCAGTTTTTGTTGAAACTGTTATAGAGAAGTGTTGATTCAACTGTATGGTGCTGTTTAATTGTATTGCATTATACTGAGACATTTTTCTAATATTTAGCCTTTCATTCATTGATATAAATTACATAATATCAGAAACACCTCTCAGTGTAATGCAACATAATTCAACAGCACTACACTCTACACAGCCTCTGAAATGACCATGAAGTTGAATCAACAGCACTCAAAAACAATTTCAGACATTCTAACCTTCATGAAGATTTAATGCAGGACTGTTATATTAGACTGCATTCGTTTTAGCTAGGCGTACATAATAAACTAGTAACCAAGAGGTGCCCCCAGTCAGAATGTGTTCACACACAATGTTGTCTTTCAAGAATCCTGCATATTTCAACAACAAAGGTTGCCTCTGTTTTCACACTGCTGACTCTCTTGTCTTGCACAGTTTCTTTCTGTGCTGTGTGTCTTTCTGCACCGCTGTTCAGTGTGGCTGTTAAGTCTCTGTGTTTAGTGGGTTCAAGTTGAGTTGTTTTCCTGCTGCATCACAGACACTTTTGACCCCCTGCTGTGTCTCCTCAGGTCGTGAACAGTTCCATGGGTTGGGCTCCATGTACTGTCGAGGTGCTGCCGCTGTCATCCTCACTTACGACGTTACCAACTGGCAAAGCTTAGCTGAGCTGGAGGAGCGCTTCCTGTCCCTGACTGATACTGCCAACCACGACTGCATTTATGCCATAGTGGGCAACAAGGCTGATCTCACAGACCCTAACGCCCAGCTGTCCCAGGACTCGGATGGAGTGTCTCAGGACCAAACTGAGTGTGAGGAAGAAAGGACCGAGCCACAGGTGCTGTCTGCCTGCCCAACACCCCCTGCCTCCCCTGCCTCCCTCTCTGGGATGGTCCTCCACAAACAGGTTACCCATGAGGATGCAGTGGCTCTTTATGGGAGAATACTGCGCTATAAGGGCCTGGAGGAAAAGAGCAGCCTGCCTGCAGAGAAGGTGTGCTTCGAGACGAGTGCCAAGACAGGCTACAATGTGGACACTTTGTTTGAGACATTGTTTGACCTGGTGCTGCCTTCCATCCTGAGGAAGAGAAACGAGAACCAGGAGTCTCCTACAGTTGACCTGGAGGAGTGCAGAGGGGCCAGCAGCAAGCGGGCCAAATCTACCTGCTGCTAGAAACTGCCAAAAAGAGGCGGAGAGGCCACCGCACGCAGAGACTCGTTTTTAACAAAGGACAATCAACAGGTCGGTCTGAGCACCAAATATATACTGTGATGGTACTACTTATTTGACTTGACTCAGACCCAATAGCATAAATGACCTCCTGGTAACACGCACGCACGCACACACGCACGCACGCACACACGCACGCACGCACACATACATTCTTGATGCTATGAAGATGGTCGGAAAAAGCAACTGGTGTCCAGAGACATTTCCTATGTAAGGAAGAGAAATAAATGTATTTTTTGTTATCACTCTGAGCTTTTAAACCTCCCATGCTGCACTTGTATCCCAAAGATGTCTGTGAGCAGATAATACACATAAAAAGTCAATCACTGCTATTTTTAAATGTAAATTTAACAGCACTAATTGTTAGTTGGGTGGCACATTTCACTAGGTGAAGTTTTCATAAATCACACGTATTTGATTTACTTTAATGTTTTGTTACTAGCATTGATACTGATCTTTATATTTTATTTCCACTTTTGGAACTTTTCAATGAGTGTAAATAGTAAATACCCCTGTTGAATTTTTACATATGTTGTCATAATAAAGATTTTTATTTTGCAGTTTGCCTGGTCTGTGAGAGTAAGACAAGCTTGTGTGAGTAAAATAACACAATCAGAAGTATAACAAACAACATTTAATCTTTACAGTCTAATAGAATTATCATGTTATGAAAATTAATAATTACATTACAAGCAAAACAAATGTCAGTATTTTTTTGTTCTAATCAAACTGTTTATTTCTAAACAAGTGAGCCTAGGTGAAGTGGAACATTTGACCTACTTTCTAAATTGTGTAAAATATCCTAATCTATCCCAGGATCAGTGACCAGAGCAAGGATTTGCTACAGTCAGACCTTTGATCCAGGCTGTTTACATTCTGTCCTGTTGGCAGCTTGGGGCAGTTCAATAATTAGTAGATTTGTAAAGCAAAATGAGTTTGGCATGAGTAGTGTTAGATAAGATACATGTAAAACTCTTAGGGAAGGGGGTCAAGTTCATTCAGCTGGTATAAATACAAAGAGAATCAGTGCATTGTGTGGACATATGGTATATGAAAAATAAAGAGTTACAGACTATTTTTGCAGTAGTTGATTAATGCATAAAACAAGTTAACAGCTTGGAAGGGCTGTCATATTATAAAAATAGGTTTTGTAAGAGCAATGGAATAAAAGCAGGATAATACTGTCAATAGTATCAACAAACAATCCAAGACCTCTAATGACACATTCTTCAGTTGGCGGAGAAGTAGTGTTAGTGGCTTTATGGTGGGCTGTACACCCTAAACAATAAAAAAAAATAAAAATAACATCTAGATAAACTGAAGCAGTGCATACACACAGGCATCTTTGGTTCAGCTGTAGTATACGGTCTCTGATCTGTGTCATAATAGCTGAGGTAATAAGTTAAACAGTAAGCACCAATCCACATTTATCATAAAATACTTTTCCCATAATGCTGTTGACTTCATTATGGGGCTTCTCCTGTTTTATCTACAGTGGGACATTTCATTCAAAGCTCAAGGGACCACAAAGTCATTGCATGTCTGAGCTCTGCGATTTGGGGACAAAGTTTCCCATTTACGCTGATCTAAGTCAGTATTTCAGATCCCCCTTAGGTTGGTTTAGCACATGGATAGAGAGACGACACTACACCACTGTCAATGGATCAACTTCTTTCTGTCAGCGTCAGTCTTTCACAAGTTCTTCATGCAGACCTGGCAGCGGCTGATGCGGGACAGGAGCTGGCCTGCTTTGAGCGTCTCTGATGCCGGGTCAGTGTGGAATGACTGATCTATGGAGGTTAGCCAGAAGCTGTGCTTGTTAGCAAAGTAGTGGCATGTGCCTTTGGCCCCGTTGCACTCGATGAACGGTGTTGTGCGGAAGTCCTCCAGGCAAGAGCCAGGGGATGACAAGGACTGACCTCCGCCTTCATTTCCTGCTGCTGTATGCTGTGGAGACAAAAGTGAGGGGAAGAGAAAATGTGAATGTGGCATTTTAAAAGGACAAATCTGGTGATATTCAACATTTTCTTTTTGTCAACAAATCCCATTAAAAAACCCAAGCAAACAATGAACCGATGCCACTAACAACTACTGCCTGTGCAGTCTCCCTGTTTGGTCAATGCCCACATCTCAGTCTTCACATTCCCAATTTGTAACACAGACTTTCTCTCACAAATCTGTAATCTCCAATTGAAGATTTTCTAATCTCACAAAGCTCTTCCAGAGTAAATGAACACAATATTCTTCAGTTTTCTCAGACTGCCCATGATTAAACTGACTTTAATGTGTGAAATTATGTTTTCCTTTAATTACAAGGGACATTAGTACTAACACTATAATTAGTCTGAGTGCCTATAAAGCTTTTCGGCCACTGTCACTTTTGTTATGGTTACTATTTCAAAGTCTCCTAATTGACAATAACACGATGATTAAATTGCTTCACAAAGCACAGTTGATTTTTTGGCTCCTGAAATTAAACCAGAGCTCACCATGAGGAATGAGTAGCCAATCCACAGGCTGCGCCACCCCACAGGACACTGTGGGATGGTGATGTCCTGGCTGTGGACTGCGATGGCAACTGATGGAGCTTCGCATACTGAGCAGCGGCTGATGTACGGTTTGATCTCTCCCTCTTCTACAGGCATCATGGGAAGAGGAGCAGTTGTTGACAACCAGTAGGACTTATCGTTTCTGCTGGCATAGTAACAAATGTCTCCAGGATTGCAGTACAGGAAGGGCATGGTGCTGAACCGTGGGAGGCAGGAGCCAGCCAAACCTGAAAAGGACAAACAGCCAAATTATACTTTGCAGTGAGCAAATGGATAAATGACATTAAATAAGAATTATACCATTTCACATTTAAAACAGATTAAAAGTATAAAAAATAAGAATTTTAAAAGATGAAAACACAACCCCGGGCTGGATTTTAATCTTGCTTTAGAGTGACCCTCTGTAACAATAGAATAACAGCAGCACAAGTAGAGAAACTAAAGTCAATGGACTGACTCAGCAATGTAATCCAGTGACATTGACATACATACAATTTATGAATTCCACTTTTAATTTGTAATAGGAAGAATGTGTTACTTCTTCATTCATCATTTAAATAATACTGCTTTAAAGGGGCTCAGAATTGGAACAAGTATTTTATCCTCTGGACATTTGTTCCTGCTGTGTGTGGCATGACACAGTGGTTTCCTGTTTTGGAAATAGGAGTCTGTTGAAAAGTCTAACCCAGTTTTCAAAGCTCTTTAGTATTATTGTATCAGCTGTGTCAAAGGCAGCACTGAGATCCAGTTGGGATGACATTTTGCTGGGTTCATTTTCTGGTACTTGGTGATACATGGTCGAATTTATAGCAGATCTTCAAAAGGAACTAAGGTGTCCTTTTCCTGCTTTATATACATGGTTATTACATTTAGAGAAAAAATCTGATTACTTGATAAAGAGTCAACGCTACAAGCAGGCTTGAACTGGCATCCACAATTGAATTAGGCTGAGAGATGGATGGATGGGAGAACAAGCACTTGATAGGATAACATCATAACCAAGGACACTGGTAGCACTGCCCCCGTGCAAAAGAGATGACTGTGAGATAGTTTCATGAAAAACTCCAGTTGAAATCTGAAACTTTTCAGTAGGGACACTGGCTGGTTGAAATGCCCCACATATTAAACTCTGCCAGCAGTAAGATCTGAAGAGCCCGACCTCTTTGGTATGTCTTCTGGTTCGTTGGATCACAATGTCAGAGTAGTTTAATCTGGGGAAGCTCGCCTGAACAATTAATGCATTGTGATGGGACTGTGCTATAACAAACTCACACTGGCAAATGTCTACACAGTGCACAGATAACTGACTTATTCTTCCAGTCTACTGTAACAAAATCTTATTTGTACCTTACAGGACTTTTACATCCCAATTTATCCCAACTTACCGAGATCCTGGTTGTGGGCCTTTTCCTGGCCCTCGAGGTACAGCAGACTGTAGCCGTTCCACAGCTTATTCATACCCACAGGACACATTGGCGTCTGATCTGATTGACTGTGCTTCACCAGCAAGTAGCCCACACTGACACTGCGCCCAGGCATACCAGGTAACCCAGGGATCCCAGGGTGTCCACGGTGACCTATTGAGGAATGAGACGTTCAAAGCTGTGTTTTACAAAGTGAACTAATTATCTATTATATAATACATCCAAAAATCAGTTTGTTACACACAGCGTTGTTTATGAAGGATATGAATATGTATCATGCAACCTATTGATATATCACTGCAAACTTTACTTATATAAATGTATCTGATAATACGATGCTTTCACAGTTGTGGCTCAACTCTTTCGTAATTGACCTCAAACTCTGGCAACTGCATCTTCTGACATAATTACATAATAATACAATTAGACCTTGAATCACTTTCAAGTCCTTAGCTAACTAATCAATTTCAGTTCAGTGCTTCATGGTTCATTCACTAAAACTCTCACAAAAAATAACAATCAAAAACCTCTTGGTAACTGGTTCTCCGTCTAATCTTCACCTACTTTAAATCCTTTAATCCAGGATTATGAACCTAATCCTAAACTGCCCCACAGACACACCTTCCATGCCTTGCAGACCGGGGTGGCCCATGTGTCCGACCTGTCCACGGAATCCAGCTGTTCCTGGTGTACCACCAATCCCAGGCATGCCCTTCTGTCCCCTGGGTCCTATGAAACCTGTACAGTAACACGATATGTGTATGTTGCTGAGCATGGACATTTCACTCAGTGATGTTCAACAACAAATGTTTTATTAGAATAACTAACCTGCATCTCCTGGGGGACCCTGTGGCCCTGGTTCCCCTGTCACCCCCTTCGGTCCTCGGATACCCTGTGGACCTGGAGGGCCCCTCTCTCCTGGAATTCGGAGGGGAAGTGGAGGAGGACCCTGGTTGCCTGGAAACCCATGAAAACCTGCAGCAGGGATGGATTATGTAATTACCAATACAAAAGGGCACATATACATGGTATCTAGTGAGCGGTGGGTATATTAGTGCATAATTTACCTGGGGGCCCAGTGTTTCCTTTTGGACCAACTGCTCCTCTTTCTCCTTTCACACCAATCATACCAGGAACTCCCATCAATCCTTGCT